TTTTCTTGCCTTTTTCCAAAAATGAAAACAAGAACACCCAGAGAGTGCTATCCTAAAGCTTTGATGTTTTGTGCTGATTTTAGCACTGGTAATATGGAAATGTAGTATTATATTCATCTTTTTGTGTCATCATAAAGTTGTATTGAAAACATAATGTTTTAAAGAGCTCAAACACAGAAAGTGCTCATTTTCTCTTAATGACTAATTGAGATTTTAAGATACATTAATGCAGCATTTTAATTTTAAAACTTTATGGTGTCAATGTGACATCAGTGAGACATACTGAGACATAAAGTGTTGCACAGCTCTCTGCATGCCCTTTCATATGATATCTTGCATGATTTTTCAAGGTTAACTTTGACCATGGATGCTAACAATGAAAGTCAATGTCAAACGCTTAGCCAAACTAGTAGGTACCCATGTTCCTCAAGTGAAGATGGTCCAAATTTTTACTGATCCTCACATTTGGCTTAGCCTTGACCTGATTTTCACCTAAATTCACCTCAGTTCATACCGTTATTGATATCTACCGTCACTCAAATGTGTAAAAAGGAGACCTTGAAAACTGACAGACAGACGAACAAATGGAGACGATTACACAGAACCTCCCTTCCGGGATAGAAAAAAATCAATCTGAATCTTCAGTGTCAAGTTTAATTGTGCGTGTTTAATATACAGTATTTTATGTCATGGATGCCACACTTTTACAGAGGACAGCCAAATAAACAGCAAATCCATGCCCCACATTCCTGAAACATTCGGACAAAATAACAAAACAGCATTAATACAGACAGAATACAGTGGCTTGCAAAAGTATTCGGCCCCTTGAACTTTCCCACATTTTGTCACATTACAGCCACAAACATGAATCAATTTTATTGGAATTCCACGTGAAAGACCAATACAAAGTGGTGCACACGTGAGAAGTGGAACAAAACTCATTCCAAACATTTTGTACAAATAAATAACTGCAAAGTGGGGTGTGCGTAATTATTCAGCCCCCTTTGGTCTGAGTGCAGTCAGTTGCCCATAGACATTGCCTGATGAGTGCTAATGACTAAATAGAGTGCACCTGTGTGTAATCTAATGTCAGTACAAATACAGCTGCTCTATGACGGTGTCAGAGGTTGTCTAAGAGAAATTTGGGAGCAACGACAGCATGAAGTCCAAAGAACACACCAGACAGGTCAGGGATAAAGTTATTG